GGTGTCACTTCAAGTTGAAACTTTGCTTGGAAGTTTGCCGTACCATACACTTTCATTTGAGCCGTGCGCGGTTGACCAACTCGGGTATCCAAAGAGGGGCGAAAAAAAACCCTTTTTGGCGGGGGTCTTGTACGGCCAAACATACGAACTTTCTACTCTCCGTGCTTTTCCCCTGAACTCCATTTTCCCATAAAGAGCCGTAAATTTTTGGAAGAGGAAAAGGTCCTAGGCTAGTGCAGGGCAAATGGACCATTTTCCGTATGATTTCTCAGTAACTTTTTGCATAGAATCCAAATCTGAAGAAAAACATACGCTTGCGACTGGAAATTTTCGGATTATGTTCCCTCAAAGACAAATGATGAATATCGATCCTGGATACCACCAATATTCCTTGTAAAATTGGGAAAAATCGATAAAGCGAATGGATGTATCGATTCCTTAACGTGAAATTCTAATTCTTTGTGAAAAAGTGTTAGTATCCATAGGCTGAACATGTGTGGACAACGACTAGGAGCCCGCGGCAACAACAAGTCACAAGTCAACAGGAGCACGGCGAATATGAGATGGGATTTTGCCGCCCCTCCCCCCTCTCCCGAAACTCGGAAACCGCTCCTACGTTCAGATTGAATTTTTTCTCTGAGCTGTATGTCATTTTACGCTTCCATTTCAAACTCGGTTCGATGGTCGAATCGACAGCGACGGCCCAGTGAGCAGGCCATTTTTGAAGAGCTTCACGGAAAATTTGAGAAATTTTCGGTTCCGATGGGTAATTCTAGGTCTCCAAAATTTACGATATTGCTAAAATCTGTGGTTATAATTTTCGAGTACTTAAAATTCTAGGTGGCGGTAGCCACTCCATCCCAATCCTAAGAAACTCCTCCTAAAATGTTGACAACGACGGGTGGCTGCTCCTAGCTAGATATACTACGCAGAGAAACTCAATCGGGCTCGCCTGTCCCTCTGTCCAAGAATCCTAGGTATTGTAACTATCGAGGAAATTTATTTTCAGCGATATAACGGAACGTACCATCGGTAAGTTGCCCCTTTTAGCTCTAGAATACCTTTAAGTCGACTTTATTTTCCAGGAGCTCGACAGAATGTTTTTCTTCTTGGCTCAAATGACTCGGTAGACACTCTGCTTCATGAATCTGGAGCGTTTTTGCTTTTGATTTGTCAAAAAATTTAAACTCGTTCAGGCAAAACGTGCCGAGAGAATGTTAGGAAAAATCGGCGAAATCGCACGATGAGGCTTCTTTCAGGGGAGGAAAAAGGCATTTTAAAAGTGGTAAAGTAATGTTTAGGTTCTTGTAAAGTACCCAAAAAAGTTTGTTACCTCAAAACATTTCAAAGCCGTAGCAACATTATATAGGTAGAAAAATGCACACCGTGCGGGGAGAATGTTAGGAAAAATCGGCGAAATCGCACGACGTGGCCACTTTGAGGGATGGAAAAAGGCATTTTAAAAGGGGTGACGTAACTTGTGTTATTTTTTTCATAAGAGACCTTAGAAAATGTTTTACCTCAAAAATGTGTGAAACTGTAACTAAATTTTGAAGGGGGGAATAATTCGCGAAATGACGGATAAACTCGATTGTCCCAAATTTGAAGTTACCGCTTTGAGACTAGTCGGCCTCGGAGACACTACTTAGGATGATCCGATCCGGCTGAAATTTTTTGCGCGAACACTTCACACCAAAAATCAACTTCATTGGGAGGGAGGTGTCAGACATTTGATTTTCGAAAAGTCGAAAAATAAGAACCACACTACCCAACAGGCAAAAAATGTGAAGGATAAATATGTTTCCTTAAACTATTTACCTTAAACAAGCCTGCTATCAAGGCAAGAAATGTAAAAATTATTTGAGTTACGAGGGAGCAAACAAGGACAAGTTCAATGGGTCACTAAACCTTGTTTATTTTATTTAATATTTTGAAAGTACTAGGTGAGTAGATAATGTGATGATTTTTCCGCATTTTTATGGAGCCGAAATCGCGGAGAAAACCGCTTTTGAAAACTCTAAAAACTGCGAGACATTTCAAACGCACCCGAATGACGGGAAACTAATGGTGGTGATGTACTGCGGTAGTCAAATCGCAATCTTCTCTCATTTTCCACTGACGTGTGTTAAAATAAAACGTCTTTCTTTGTGAAATTATTGCTTGTCCACTAAAGGTAACATAAATGAGAATTGATTTTTTAATTCTAAAGATATAAGTTCGACTTTAGTTTTGTTCTCGCATACGACGAGTAGATAGACATTTGACGGAAGTCGTAGAAACCCGTGCTCGCTTCTAATTAGTGCGGGATGACATCATTCGGTTTGGCGCGAAACCGGGGCGTTTTAAAGAGGTTGTTCCAAAAACGCCGATTTTGGTCCCCCCCTGGATTTGGCCCAAACTTTGCTCAGATGTTGTACTAAGTGTCCCCGATGCTTGGGCAAAATTTCAGCTCCCTCGGATAATTGGGGGGGGGGAGGGGGCAGGGGGCAAAGTTGCAATTTTTTTAAAACTTTAAAAATCGATATCTCGCGAACGGTTTGAGTGTAAGTGTTGCGGTTTGCGCTAAAAAAACGTCAAAAAATATTCTCTACAAGAATATCAATGCTGTTTGCAAGGTTGCGTAATTTATCGCGGTCATAAATCGATTTTTTCGATTTTGAAGGTTCGACTTTTTTTCGTTTTTCGTCTCTCCTCTCTTTGGAATCGTTGCTACGTGAAAAAAAAACTGTTGAGGTGATTCTCCATGAAATTCTGCACCTACCACACTTTGTTTGATCTTGGGGAAACGATTCGTTCGTGAGTTATAGCGATTTTTCTGCGCGTTACCGGTTACGCGCGGGCGGCTTATCGGCGGCGCTCCATCCCGCGCGGGCAAGGCAGAGGTTGTTTCACCGCTAGGGCCTTATATTCATGCTGTAGGCTGTAATTAACGATATTTTCTCCTCCCCCCACCCTTCCCCTGCAATAAATATTTGTTTATTACTTCGTTATACAGGGTATCCCAGACCACCCGTAAAAGGTCTTTTTCTCGGTTGGTTTAGGTAGTACGAAGTGGGGGGCCGCGGGATTGAATAGGGAATTGACCCCAAGGAATCCGAATTTCATGGTCCCGAAACCCCCCATGCCCCCCTTGGGAGGTAAAGAGGAGGTCACGATCCCCAAAGTCGGGAGACATTGTGCCTCCCCCTTTTACCTCCCAAGGGGGGCATGGGGGGTTTCGGGACCATGAAATTCGGATTCCTTGGGGTCAATTCCCTATTCAATCCCGCGGCCCCCCACTTCGTACTACCTAAACCAACCGAGAAAAAGACCTTTTACGGGTGGTCTGGGATACCCTGTATAACGAAGTATTAAACAAATATTTATTGCAGGGGAAGGGTGGGGGGAGGAGAAAATATCGTTAATTACAGCCTACAGCATGAATATAAGGCCCTAGCGGTGAAACAACCTCTGCCTTGCCCGCGCGGGATGGAGCGCCGCGGATAAGCCGCCCGAACGCAATCGAACGTGAGGAATCTAATGTACACAAGCATCTGGTAGAAGAAAACTATTCAATCTATAATTTAAAAGCAACTTCGAAGTTTGTCATAAACGAACAATTAAACCATGTTGCGAGTCCTCGAAAAGTTTGAAATTAGGAAGAGAGTAATGAATGGTTGTAACTTATTGGTCGTGCAGGTAGAAATTGAAGGCTTGAGCAACCAGCTAATTGATTTTTGTTGCTCCGTGTAGGTCGCGTTGTTTTTATTGCACCTTTGTATTGTATTGTGCACTGTAAAAAATCTGTTTAATATCACTACCATATTGTGAGCTGTGTAATTTTAAAGTTTATCGCCAAAGTACATATGTAGCATGCTCTGCCTCTGCTGTCCCCTGGTGGTAATGATTGTCAGCTATCCGATTGGACTGCAACGCCGAGAAAGTGCTGCTGACTATGATTGACCTTGGAACTATTTCTTTCTTGTCATCACAAGTGTCACCTGAGTGTGCACTGGCCACTGTGACACTTGTATGCTAATTCGTTTGTGGCGGCTAGCCACCACTCTGCCAACCAGCACAGCTCATTGGCTGGAGCTCGACATTGTCACGGCTACATATAGCCGCGAGCTCATCACTCAGGTCACTCCGCGCCCGTCAGTCACACGGGACTCACGTCGCACAGCACCCAGGGGAACTCATGCAGCCGGCCGCCTTGCCCCTTTCCAACGGCCTTGTTTAGGGTCACCACACGATGAGCACCTCTCATGGCTTAGTCCATACGTTGCATCTGCCAGTTATATAGTTAAAATTTATTTTTCTGTTCCTTTTGCTTGTTCATCTGTTCGATACCAGCATGTGGTTAATCTTTTCTTTTTAGTTTGTCCTATTGCTCAAAAGATGGCCCTAACAGGCTGAAAAGCTCATCAATATGTAACCATTCAAAGCATGTAAGTAAATAACTTGCGATAAAAATGTATAGTACCAAGATTATTCTTTTTCAAATCGTTTTAGATACTGATTTGGACGGTGAAAAGAAAAGGCGTGTGGAATCGGAGATGAGACTGTCGCTCGGATGATGATCGGCTTTCCTGTTAACGTGATTTACCTACACACATCCGACCGACCCAAGCCATACTCGATGTGCTGAAATGAGGGATCTCTTTTCACGGATTTTGCAAAATCGGTGGCTCGTAAAAAGTTGGCGCAATGATAACTTTTGATAGGTATTCATGGACGAATGTAAAACAATAAAAAAAAAATTAAAAATAGATTGTGATGCACACCTCCATAAGGAGTGTGAATGGTTCTTTTCTTTCACTACAATATGTGATCTCAAATTTATCGTTTTTGGTAGAAAGTATGTACTTACACCCTACTTCAGGCTTCCGAAGAAAAATTATGAATATCATGTTTGTATAGTTAACATGGTTCAAACAAACCTCGAGTCCTCTTCAGAATAATTACAATAATTACAGCGTCAAAGCAAGATCAGAGGCCGATAATAATTGAATGAATCTTACTTGGCATTTTTTGGAACAAACTTGAGGAGACTCTGTATTCGACGACATTCAGGAATTGGGAGGATATGAGAGCCACAACCATCAGTGTTCAACTGCAACAAACAATTTTCAATCATCAAATTATCCCCAAGATATAAGAACAGGAGTATTTGGGGTAAACAACAAGAACAACCAACGGGGGCTATGTCCTCTGACCGCTATGGGGTCCATCCCCGCAGCGCTTCCCGCCTCGGGCGTTAAGTTACGCTTTACTCTTATGATTTTATATTATAGAGTGAAATCACGTCACTCTCTTTTTCTCATGCAATTGTTGTTGTTGTGCTGTACAACCATGACCTGCTTTACTTTCTTTCCCAATTTCTCTAGAAAAAAATAATCAATTTAATAAATATAGTGATGAAGTTATTGAACGTCCGCCGTGATAAATATAGTGATGAAGTTATTGAACGTCCGCCGTGACCTCGAGATTCCCTGCTCAGTCCGCGGTCCCCCGTGTCCAACGCCCCTAATAATCGATCGGGATTCCCGATGGCCAGATCTCCCATAGAGTTGCAATGTACTGGAGCGCCGATGAAGTCAATCCATGAACGGGCCATTCCGAGCCCCTTGTTCGCCGGGAAAAGGGAACCATATGGGAGCCGTTCGGCATTTTTTGACACGGCTTATGAAAGAATCGCGGGCTGCGAGTGGTTTTCGGGATTTATTCATCTAAATCAATCATTATTTCCGCAAAATTTTGGCAAGTTATGTTCACCGAAGACATAACAAATCCAAAAATGTACAATACTCCCGGTTTTCATGAAATCATCATCATTAATATAAACCTCGAAGAATTCAAACTTTCAGCGATTCTACCTTTTTCTATTTCACTCGAAAGGTTGCCAGATTGTGCGATAAATGTGAATATTTTACAAGGATTTGAATTGGGAAAAGTGCTAAAAAGCAAATTATCTGGCAACAATAGAGTCCGGGAGGGACGAGAGGCTGCTTTCCTGGGAAACCCCACGATTTAGGCGGAAATGTTATTAAAACAATTGATTCCGTTTGAAGCATCAACTGTATACTAGGGGAAAGCTATTTTAAAATAATATTTCGACGGTGAAAGTCGGCAATCACATAACTCGGTTTGCGACGTCGCAGACTTCCTGTCATACTTTATTTTTTAAACGGAAAACTACTCAACGGTAATTATTTAAAACTGCCGTGATTTTTCTTCTATGTGCGAGGAAAATTCTGCAAAAACTTCAAGGAATCATGTCCATTTGTTCTCCTTTAAAAAAATAACATAGTTGCGGAGATTTTCAGACACCGCAAACGAGTTATGTGATTGCCGACTTGCACCGCGATTTGTAAATGGACACAGATGCTACAGAAAGGGAAAAAGGAAAGGGAAAAGGAAAGGGAAAGGAAATGAAATGAGGATATGATTACAGAGAATAAAACAAAAACATCAGAGAAATTTATATGCGACGAAAGTATAAGAAAAAAACACGAGTGGGCTCATTGCGATTCGGAACTCGAACTATACTATCGTGAGCAGTTTTTAGATCCCTCCGCCACCGATAATCTTCTTAAGAGGTAAAGATGAACTTTTGCTACTTCAGCAAGTCAAATCGCGGGAGGAGGTCCATGGATTGTCTTTTTCTTCCACCTGATGGGATGACGTCCCAGTCAAATGCGTTTTTGAAGAAATGATCGATCCCCACCATCGCTTCATCTCCATACATCTATTCATGTATAAATGATGGCACGCTCCGGCAACAAGGTTCTGCGACAAGATCATTTTTGCCTCCAGAGTCTCCAAAATGTAGGTATACATCTTAGTGATCAAATGTCTAATCACTGAGAAAAATGGCTCCCGGAGCGAGCCGAATGTCACTCGCGTAGCGAGTGATCGGCGGTCCAGGGGGCGCAGCCCCTTGGCTGGCCGTGACGGACGCGCAAAGCGCGTCCAGAACGGCTGGTAAATGTTATACCTGTATTTTCAGATTACGGAGCATCGGATCAACGATCATGGTGTCAACAAACAGTTTTTCTAAGTTTTTATTGACACCATGATCATCAAAAAACTAATAATTCTGACTCCTATGAAAGATAATCATGGAGTCAAAGATCACGGTGTCAACGAAACTTAAAACTTCCCTCCATAACATCTTGCAAATTTCAAATCTTATTTTTCTTGTGTTATTTACTCTAACCTAAACTTACCCTAATTTACCAAACCTAATCTAACCCAACTTCACTGAACCAAACTTTCCTCGATCTTACCCTACTTAACCTTACCTGTCCTAACCTAACCTACTTGAACTAAACGTGACCAAAACCTCTCCTGTAGACTTAATTTTTTACTTTTACTTGTGAGGAAGATATTTTTCTGTTTGTTTACACTGTGATCGTTGACACCATGCTCAGGGCCCATCTTTACGTTTTACTGCCTGAGCACGTCAACAATCGTTGACCTCATGATCAGATTTTTGGTTTGTTGACATCATGACCGTTGACACCATACAACGTTACCCATTTGCAGAGCGAAGACCGGGGCTGGGACCCCGCGCATACGGCATCGCCAGTCGCCGCACACTAGTCTCAGGGGAACTGTACAAAACAGCCTCATAAAGAGACTTCATCGGCGCTCCAGAACATTGCGACTCTATTGTACTCTATGAGATCTCTGGCCCCATGCGGGGTTTCCCGGTCCGATCCTCCGGAAGGGTTGGTGCAGCTGCAACCCTTGAGGGTCTTTATAAGGAAAATCACCTCGTTCGTGCCTCGTTCGTCATTTCGACTCGGGATTAGGCACGCGGGCGTGACCGGGCGGCCGGCGTAAAAGTTCCGGGAATTCCCGACTCCGACCTCTCCGAAGGGGCGGGAGCTGCGCTTCAGAAGACCGTATTTTCGACCCCTGCTTTGTAACGCGAACTTCGTACCTTTCCACTCGTCCCTCGGGCTTTCCGTCTGCGGGTGGGTCCTGCATCGTCGACGCTCGGTAGGGCTGGATTACACGATTCTGTCANGGGGGGGGGGGGGGGGGGGGGGGGGGCTAGCCGGTTCTTGGAAAAAAATCGGTGTGCCAATAAAATCCTGCGCGACGAAATCCCTCCGTATGAAAATCCCGCGTTCTTAAGGTGATTCGATGGACGCCATATTTTGTGTCAGAAAGGCATACGATATATCGCACCAATTGGTTCCATTTTTTCAGCCACTCGTCATTTTTCTCCAATTTTAAGATCGCAATTCTGTTGTCAGGAGACTAAAGCACTCAATTACCAATTTTAACAAAGAAATTCAACGTAATAAAGGCGTGGTTTTTTTAGAGAAAAAACATCGCATTCGAGTGCAGTTTCGATATCAGTATCGAATGCAATGTTTTCTCTCTGAAAAAACCACGCCTTTATTACGTTGAATTTTTTTGTTAAAATCGGTAAGTGAGTGCTTTAGTCTCCTGACAACAGAATTGCGATCTCAAAATTGGAGAAAAATGACGAGTAGCTGAAAAAATAGAACCAATTGATGCGATATATCGTACTTCGTTCTGACACAAAATATGGCGTCCATCGAATCACCTTAAGGTACGGAACCTTAGGCGCGTCTGTCCGCGGCGTCCAGGACGCCGCGGAGAGACGCCGATAAATCTGTCTGATGATTTTGCGTGGTGACGGCACCTTAGCGGCGGAGAGACGCTGCGGAAAACGCCGATGGAGGACGCTCCAAAGACATAAAGACGGAGCGCTCGTATCTAAAAGCACGGGGAAAAAGTGAAGCTAGGTTCGGCGCTGCGCGCTTGTGTGAGTGTGTAAATGAGCGCGGGAATCCATGGCGGCAAACGGAAATTTGATTTGAACTTGTCCTCTTGATTTTTCCTTATTTCTTCTTCGAAACGTGTTTTAAATGCTTAAAACGATTATATTAAGAAAGTTCGGTCTGCGTCCTAATATATTACACCTACTTTTGCTCGGTAACAGGCAGTAATCTCAGATAAAGTTAGTTTTTCTTCTGCTTATGGTGGTTCTGCAGGTTCAAACAGGCCGTTACAGTTCTAGATCTACGTTACTCCCAAATGAAATCAGTCGGTCGACGACGGACCGAAACTAACCTAAAGTTAATAAAATATGAGTGTGTACCTGAATTTGGGCAAAAATCAACCTAAAATACTTTGTTTCCGCAATTTTATTTATTAGTTCCCGCCCTACATTTGAATTCAAACTTGTCCCGATTTCGCCGCCAATCCTCTAGCCAATAGTAGAGGTGATTGAAAAGAAGCTCTAGAAGCTTCATTTTTTGCTTTTAGTGCTCCGTCTTTATGTCTTTGGGACGCTCCGATCTGTCGCCAACAGATCGGAGCAGAGACGCCGACAAATTCCGCTCCGTCCGCTGCTTTTCCTACCGATTTTTGAATGTTTTTAGTTCGACAAACCCACGAATCGATCACAAAGGCCATGAATTGATCGACAAAAGCCGTGAATCGATCGACAAAAGCCGTGGATCGATCGACAAACCTGTGAATCGATCGACAGACCTATGAGTCGATCGACAAACCTGTGAGTTGATCGACAAACCCGTGAATTGATCGACCAAGTTGTGAATCGAAAGAATTTCGTCGATCGGTTCACGTTTTGGTTTTTCGATCGATTCGTGTCGATTGACTTGATACCGGTTTTTCTTTTAATTGTCAATCATTTCTCGTCTATCGATCCACGTTTTTTGTCGATCGAATCGACACCGGTTTTTTGGTAATTTTTCCATCGAATCAGTGTCAATCGATTCACGTTTTTATTTTTCGGTCGATTTTTGTCGATCGAATCCACACCCTCCTAAAAAAAAGCGCGTCCAGCCATTTTCGCGGCCCAGAGCATACTGTCCGATCAACGAAAATTCGAGAAATTAACAGCGGACAGAGCGGGAAAAATCCACGAATTCCGCTCCTAAGGTGCCGTGCTCCGAAATGTGAGCGTCTTCTCGCCCTCGACTCGGTAGCAGAGTTTTCCGCCGGCGTCCAGGACGCTGTGGACAGAGACAGACGCGCCTAAGGTTCCGTAGCTTTATATGAATGCGCATGAGGCTTGGCAACGACGGAGAGTCCGCAAAGAAAGGT